TTTGGTTTTGGATATGTCCAACACCATTTTGGTTTTGGATATGTCCAACACCATTTTGGTTTTGGATATGTCCAACACCATTTTGGTTTTGGATGTGTCCAACACCATTTTGGTTTTGGATGTGTCCAACACCATTTTGGTTTTGGATATGTCCAACACCATTTTGGTTTTGGATGTGTCCAATACCATTTTGGTTTTGGATGTGTCCAACACCATTTTGGTTTTGGATGTGTCCAACACCATTTTGGTTTTGGATGTGTCCAACACCATTTTGGTTTTGGATGTGTCCAACACCATTTTGGTTTTGGATGTGTCCAACACCATTTTGGTTTTGGATGTGTCCAACACCATTTTGGTTTTGGATATGTCCAACACCATTTTGGTTTTGGATGTGTCCAACACCATTTTGGTTTTGGATGTGTCCAACACCATTTTGGTTTTGGATGTGTCCAACACCATTTTGGTTTTGGATATGTCCAACACCATTTTGGTTTTGGATGTGTCCAACACCATTTTGGTTTTGGATGTGTCCAACACCATTTTGGTTTTGGATGTGTCCAACACCATTTTGGTTTTGGATGTGTCCAACACCATTTTGGTTTTGGATGTGTCCAACACCATTTTGGTTTTGGATATGTCCAACACCATTTTGGTTTTGGATGTGTCCAACACCATTTTGGTTTTGGATGTGTCCAACACCATTTTGGTTTTGGATGTGTCCAACACCATTTTGGTTTTGGATGTGTCCAACACCATTTTGGTTTTGGATGTGTCCAACACCATTTTGGTTTTGGATATGTCCAACACCATTTTGGTTTTGGATGTGTCCAACACCATTTTGGTTTTGGATGTGTCCAACACCATTTTGGTTTTGGATGTGTCCAACACCATTTTGGTTTTGGATGTGTCCAACACCATTTTGGTTTTGGATGTGTCCAACACCATTTTGGTTTTGGATATGTCCAACACCATTTTGGTTTTGGATGTGTCCAACACCATTTTGGTTTTGGATATGTCCAACACCATTTTGGTTTTGGATGTGTCCAACACCATTTTGGTTTTGGATGTGTCCAACACCATTTTGGTTTTGGATGTGTCCAACACCATTTTGGTTTTGGATGTGTCCAACACCATTTTGGTTTTGGATGTGTCCAACACCATTTTGGTTTTGGATATGTCCAACACCATTTTGGTTTTGGATGTGTCCAACACCATTTTGGTTTTGGATGTGTCCAACACCATTTTGGTTTTGGATGTGTCCAACACCATTTTGGTTTTGGATGTGTCCAACACCATTTTGGTTTTGGATGTGTCCAACACCATTTTGGTTTTGGATATGTCCAACACCATTTTGGTTTTGGATGTGTCCAACACCATTTTGGTTTTGGATATGTCCAACACCATTTTGGTTTTGGATGTGTCCAACACCATTTTGGTTTTGGATGTGTCCAACACCATTTTGGTT